AAATAGAGGCACCTTCAGCCTCTCCCCCCAAGAGGCCGCTGTAGGCTACCTGCTGCTTCACAAGAGCCCACCGGGAGATCAGGTCTGTTACCACGGCGGTGAAATCACCATGTTGCTCCAGTGTGGATGATGGACAGACTCTTTGAGTCTTCCTCATTCAAACAGTCGATTTAAACAGCATGGTAAGAAAGATGCCACATGAAAACACTTGGTGCATCCACAGAGAGGCAGAATGTATGGTATCTCTCCAGAGAGAGTTGTCATGATTTGTGTCTCTGGGCGAATAAGACCTTTGAGCTTTCTGAAGAGGTGAGATGTTTTGATTTCCTGTTTCGAGGGATTTGTTCTTTTGTCTTTGGGCTGCACGTTGCTTTGACCTGAATGGAGTTAACTGTGACGACACATTTCTGAGGTATTCTGACACACAGTGAAACCTGTGCTGAAGACCCCACATTCAGTGAGAGAAAGTGCTGCTGTCAGAAGTAAATTCAAAGTCTCTCCAATTTTCTTCAGAGATCGCTTCTACCAGGCAGTGGGGCTTTTACTAATTGGTCCCTTATATAAGAGTGACTAAATGTTATCTGGATCTTTTTGGGTCATATCAACAGATTGCTTTGGGCTCAATCCTAGCTTAAAATTTAAATTGGATCAGGCCCTTTGTAAGCAGTTTGGGAAGTGGTCTCACTTGGCAATTATTTGGTATTTACATAATATATGCATTGCCATCATGGTATTGACATATACATTTCTCAGTAGCTTTACATATAAAAGAGCCCAGCCCCATTGGCATCTATGGGCAATGTAAGCAGTGGTGGTGAGGATTAGTGACGTGGTTTTTTCCACCCTGTAGTTGTCATGGTTAGTTCACTGTTGTCATTCTGGCTTGTGGAAATGGAGGACACTTGATAATTTTGCCGTAACTTCAAAAAATGCAGTTGCAGTCCACCTCCTTAGGGATGTAAGTTCCCATTCATCAGTTAACCGGTTAATGTTGGGTCACTCCAGGGCTGCCTCTGGTGCCCAGTTATCCAGCCAGTTACGCACCCACCTTATAGTAGCCCCATCTAAGTTGTATTTGCCTAGTTTATTGATAAGAATATCACGTGAAACCGTATCAAATGCCTTACTAAAGTTTAGGTATACCTCATCCACCGCTTCTCCTTTATCCACAAGACTCGTTATCCGATCAAAGAAAGCTATCAGATTGGTTTGACAGGATTTGTTCTTTACAAATCTATGCTGGCTGTTGCCTATCACCTTACTAACTTCCAGATGTTTGCAGATGGATTCTGTAATTATTTGCTCCATTACCTTCCCTGGCCCAGAAGTTAAACTGACTGGTCTGTAGTTTTCTGGGTTATTCTTATTTCCTTTTTTATAGATGGGCACTATATTTGCCCTTTTCCAGTCTTCTGGAATCTCTCCTGACTTCCATGATTTTTCAAAGATGATAGCTAAAGGCTCAGATACCTCCTCTGTCAGCTCCTTGAGAATTCTAGTGTGCATTTCATCAGGCCCTGGTGATCTGCAGACATGTAAGTTTTCTAAGTAATTTTTAACTTATTCTTTTTTTATTTTAACTTTTAAACCTACCCTATTTCCACTAGTATTCACTAGGTTAAGAACCCTGTCACCAATCATCTTCTTGATGAAAACTGAAACAAGGAAGTCATTAAGCACCTCTGCCATTTCCAGGTTTCCTGTTATTGTTTCTCTCTCTTCAGTGAGCACTGAGCTTATCCTGGGTCCTTGGTCTTCCTCTTGCTCTGCGCAGGGGGCGGCTCCTCTGGCACCATCCTCTGTTCACAGCAGCCAGGGATGTTTGCTGCAAACAGAGGCCGCTGGACTTAGCGAAGCCAGGACCAAGCAGTCATGGCTCACGCGAACACTGCACCTGTGCATTTTAAATGCAGTAACCGTCTGCCTGTGCTACAACTTTGCATACGGCTCCCTGCAAAATTGGAGCATCAGCTTCCTAGATGGGGAGTGTCATGGGGAAGCAGAACAAAAAAAAATGTCGGGGTGCGCTGCTCTTTTCTTTCCCTCCACATGAGGGAAACAAGCAGCCAAAATGGCTCCATGCTCATTGTCCATTTTCATCCCTCTTGGAAACATTTTCCTGGAAGCTTCCCCTATGAATTCTTAGAGGTTTCTGGGAAATGGGAGTAGCAGGTGTTACATGTTTTTACGCTGCATGGCAAGCACCGGGTGGCCTTCCACTTCTCTAGCCAGTGGCCAATCAATTCTCTTGCTTCTACTGTTGCTTGCATCAACGGAGTAGCAGCAAGAGCAGAATAAGGCTATGTCTATACTGGGAAGGTTTGGCGCGACAAGTGCTATCAACATGTTCCCCTCCCTTGCTGCCTCTTTCTTTTGAGGCAGCATGGGCCGGGGGGAGGGAGGGGGGCTTTCACATCTCTAGTCTACAGGGTGCTTGCAACGTGGGCAAGGATCGCACAGTGCAGTGTTGTGAAAAGGCAGAGCTGATCCCTGCACATCTTGGAATTCCCTTGTAGCTCTGTGAGCTCTCCATGCTAAGGAATGTCAAAGCAGCTCAGCTGTCCCTCCAGCCCTCCCACTGCAGCAGCAGTTTTCCTGCTGCTATGTTCCAAGCAGGGCAGAACAGGAACATTCCAGTGATTTGTTCTTCGGTCCCCAAATGGAGCAGCTCACTCAGCTGTCAGATACTTCAGGGAGCTTTGAAAAGGGAGGGGGCACATGCCTGGAAGGCAGCGGGGATCACAAAACATGGAGCACATCAGGGCAGACATTGTGGGATACTGGCAGAAGCCAGTTCTCTGGACAAAAACACTGGCTTTTGGTCAATAATAAAGGGAAGGGAAAAGAGAAAAGTTTCTTATAGGGGTAGAAGTTTTTTGTTGCCAAAACTTTTTCAAAAGTGACATTTCATGAAGAAGTGGGTTGTGCCCACGAAAGCTACATGTTCTGTTAGTCTCTAAGGTGCTGCAAGACTGTTTGTTGTTTTTCCAGTTACAGACTATGTTGGCTACCCCTCTGAAGCTTTCTCTCTGTCACCAAAAGCCAGTTTTTGGTGACAAAATGTGCCAATGTAGATAAGGCCTAAGAAAGGGCTCCATACAGGCAGGGTGTCAGATATTCTAGTTGCCTTTATCTTCTCTTTAAATCTCTGTTTTGGTTAGTTTAAGCAGTTGGAGAGCAAGTGAAGGGATATCTCTTGGCCTTCTCTCACCAGAAGACCAAGCCTGAATTCTCATTCTAGTAGATTTCCATCAAAAGCTAAGGAGACAGAACTTTTGTGTTTCCAGTGTTGAATATAAATTGAATATTGATAAATGCCCAATCATTCTGTCCTTACTGTGTGAAAATCTTCCATTAATTTGAGATTTGCCTCAGTAAGAACTAGACAATACCATAGTTTATCATTGTCTATTGAAATATTAATTGCCAAAAATCTCTGAAAGTGTACATTAATGTCACACTGCTGCTGATCTGTTTTCCCTTGAGTTCTGGGAAGATAAAGATGTGCCAAAAATCTAATATATAAAGGAGAATGTTTGTATGTTTGTGCGCTAATAACTTAGGCACTATAAGAGCTACTGCAAACAAACTGTGCATGGGGTAACCTTTCCTCCAGGAGATGATTTTAAAGTACTTTTGGCAGTACGGGGAGAAGTGGCTTCCCGGGGGAAGTGGAGGCACGAGGGGAGGGGCAGCGCTCTGAGTGGCAGCTGCCCGACTCGCCTCTCCCAGGCCGATCTACTGCGCAAGCGCCTCTGGGGCGGGAGAGCCCCTTTCTCCCTCCCGCCCGTGATGTCACTCGGCCCAGGCCCCTTCTCTCTGGCAGCAGCCGAGGGTTGCAGAGTGGCAGGCTGGAGCGCGCGGCTGCCACTAGGGGACGATTGCAGGCACAGCGGGGAGGCGACGGCAGCACTGGGAGCGGCCCGGGGTCCGGCACAGCTTCCTGGTCACATGGCAGGGAGCCTGGCACCTGCTCAGTGCAGCCCGTGGGAGAGGGGAGCCCCCGGCACGGCTCCATGGTGCAGCAGGTAGTGGGGCGAAAGTTTCAGGGGGGGCGGTGGGGTCGTTGCTCCCTGCAGCCCTGGGCGTATGCTTGCCCACTCTAGGTCCCGTGCTCGCCCCCTCCTGCCTGCCCCGAGCAATGCCGGGTAATTCCAGCTAGTATCTAGAAATACCTTTTTTGGCATCCAAGAAAGATGCTGAACACCTTGCATTAGTGAAACAATTTAATTAATATGCTTACATCTTTTTGTGATTTAACAAAGAATGAGAAGTTCTTTTTGTCACCACAGCACTTGGTGTTTAAAATAAAGGTAAGAAACATTTCTAGAAGTTAACACCCTCCATTTCCCACTTTATTATCCTGGGGTTTTTATTTCAAAAGGTTTAGACTATGGAAGCTGTGAATCTAGCGTATTGTTGAATATGCAGTACTATAGCCATGTCTATCCCAGGATGATAGACAGGGTGGGTGAGGTAATATATGTGATTGAGCCAACAACTTTTGTTGGTGAAAGAGACAAACTTTCAAGCTTCCACAGAGTTATTCTTCATCTCTGTATAAGCTCAAAAGCTTTTCTTTCTCTCTCTCTAACAGAAGTTGGTTGATGAAAAGGCTGTTGAATGGGGAGATAAATTCAGTTCAGAAAGATAAAACTGAAAATCTGACTGAATTCAGCATTTCCTCAGGGGAAGACTGTAGAAGCAAGTAAATATAAAAGAGGTGTGGTGAATCTGTTTTAACCTAGGGAATGATTAAATCTGCAGAAAGGTTAGCTGAGAGCAGCCCTGTCAGTGTTGCTGCAAGGCCCTTTACCTGCAATGCAGTGCTATGCATCTGCAGCTAGGTGGTGGAGACAAATCCTTTTTCTCCCTCCCTGTCACACACAGCTTGGCTGCTTTCAAAAGCCAACACTGTTCAGGCAGCAGAAGTGCACACGCTGCTGCTGCTGGTAGTTGTTTTTTTAATGGCTCTTTCGAAAACTGTTTGTCCATCTTCAGGGGTATCTTTATCAATGGGAGTCCGTGCTTCGTGCAGGTAGGCTTTCCTTTGTCTCCAGCGAACTGCTGCTTTTCTTAAGGGTCTTCCTTAGAAGAAAGGACTTTTGGGTTCCTAGATGAAGACTTTGGTAGATGAAAGCTGTCTCACGTTTGCTTTAGAATACTGCAACTTGACGTCATCTTTTCTTCTTCCTTAAAATATTACCTGATCATGTGATTGCAGAGGAATGATGCAAATCTAGTTAAATCTTCTGATTAATTAGGAGGTAGAAGGAACAGATATAAAATTTTTCATCTGAATGCATTTTATTGTAGCAGTGAACATGGTAGTTATAAAAATTGCAATCTATAAATTCTGCTGAGTAGCTATAAATCACCCAGATGTTGCTTCTTTTGAAGCATCTGTTAGCATTTTTGCAATACTGACAGCTATCTGCTTCTTACGCCAGCATGTTATATAGGCAATGGAGTAGTTGTTGTCTCCAGCAACCCCTCTCTGCCTCTTTGTAGGCTATACTGTTCGAGTGAATGATGCAGACAGGGTGGATGTTATGAGGTTTTTGTGTGTGAATATTTGGGGGTTTGGTTTGACTCAATGCTTGTTCCCTATTTAGTGGAGAGTTTAATCTTAAGTACTTGAACCATATTAGTATACCCTTTTGATCTGGCTCTGCAGTTGGCATTTTACAAGTCAGACTATTACAGGGAGTCTGCCTTCAAATGAATTTGAATAGTAGAGCAAAGGTGATTTGGAGGAGAGCTTAATTTTTAATGGTACTATGAAGATTTTTCTGAGAGAGACTAATGGGGGGAAAAAACTAACTGTAGTGTGAAACTGTGATGTCTTGTGAGACTGAATCTGAGAACTGTGGGATAGTGAGATGCAAAACTGTAGGGTGCATCAATCACCAGATAGTCAATAGCATGACTTAGTGGCTCCAGTTAGGAGGGCGGAGGTCGTAAATTTCCAGCATGGCCTGAGTGGTTTCTGATAACATCCTTGATGCAGGAAGAACATTGCAAAGTACCTCAGAGGTTTCAAGCATTTTGATGTAGACCTTTTAAGATGGCTCTTTTTGTGGCCCCACTTTCTCATCTCATTCCACACCTTCTCTGAAGCAGCTATTTAGTACTTGGTTACAGGAAGAAGAAAAATCTTGGCGGCATTGAGGACACTGAATGAAAATTAACTCTGAATGAGGTGGGTGTGACTGTTGGATTTAAATTCCCTTGTCTGCTCTTTTTCCCCTCCGTAGGTGTATAGAGGATATTTATTAGCACCCCCTTTTTTAATTGCTTCAAGCTCACAAAGCTCTCCTCCTAGCACATCTGGACTACTGAAACATCTTTTTCTCTGGCCTTGACTGTGCAGTCTTGCCCCATTTGCAAGGCTGCGGCAGAGACAATTTTCCTAGCCTGTTGGTATGGTCATCTTATCCGTCTTTGTATCCTTCCACTGGCTCCCCCTTCTCTAGCACATGAAACGTAAGCAACTTCTCTTCACAGCCTATCCCTATTCCACTTGTCATGTATCATTCTGTATCGAGAAATTCGCTTCCCCTTTAACTAGCTCAGGATGCCAGCCTCCATCCCAGCCACTTGTGAAGTTTTCAAAGAGACCCTTCAGAGAAGCAACATCCTTAAAAGCCCTTCAGTGTTCTTAATCCCTCCTTAAATCTCCACTTTGCTATAGCTACAAAAATATTTGAGGACAAGCTAGACTGCTAGTTCTACTGACCAATATTGTTTCCTTGTACTCCCCCCTATCTCTGTATCCATCCCTGTCTTGTCTTGGGGCAGGACCCACCTTTTTCTTCAGTGTTTATATAGCACCTACCGTAGGGATGATCTGTTTCTACTGTGTACAGTACTTAGCACAACAGGTGGCCATTCTTGGTTAGTCTTTTAGTACTACCAAAAGCAACATAATTGATGTAGAGACTGCATGTTTTCTTATGCATTAATATACAAGATGTGAATTTCCTACAAAAAGATTGCTAGGATAACTCTGAAGGAGATTGATTAGCTCTGTAGGGTTTTATGTCTAATAAAGGTTTGATTTGCTTTGAAACAGCTAGTTTTATTGTGTGGCTTTGAAACTGTCATACACTCAATTTTTAACTTTACTATTTGGGGGATTTAAACATCCCCTTATCGCAGTGGAAGCCAAAATGTTTTGCTGATGCATGTGAACGAGATAACACTGACCAGCTTAACTGTGTTCCTGCAATCAACCTAGTACAGCATATATAATTAAAAGGTTGTGACATTTTCATCTGTAGACATAGCAGTTTTTAGCGAAAGGAAGGATTTATTAAATGTCTTTCATCTTCTGTATTGGACTATAAAAGGTACAGGTTTTTAAATGGCAGCCCCTTATTTTTTTTTTTCTGTATTGGACTATAAAAGGTACAGGTTTTAAAATGGCAGCCCCTTATTTTTTTTAAAAGATCAAGTTTTAACTCCTTTTTCCTTATAAGAGATCCTTTCAGCTCCTAAGATATGTTTTACACCAACCCTTTCTCCAAGCAGATGGGGAAAGGGCTGAAGTGTCCAATAAATGTCACTGAATCCTCTTACTCGGGGACAGTTTCATGTTATAGGCATGACATCAGTCTCAAATGAGTGAAAAATGTTAGTTAATGTTCAATTTCAAGATAAGTAGAGCTCCAGCATATAAATTGCTACATCTCACTAACTTTAAATTTTTAGTATAAAAAGAAACTGGAAGAACTCCTGAGGGCAGTAACTTATCTCAAGGGGATCAACTGAGTCTTTTAATTCACTGTAAAAATTATGCACACTTCTTGTTCTGATGATGAAAAATGCCTCTAGAAAATAATCAGTTGCATTTTTCAGGTATGAAGGGCTGCTATGTACATGTCACTTGGCATTTTTAACCTGGGGATAAAGGCTTTTAAATGTGAGTGGGTTTTCTGAAGGCCACTTACTATCATTCTTCTCTCCTTTCCCCTCCCAGTCTGACCTGAAAGAAAGTGAAAGCTGTTGAATTAAAACCTAATGTGTCTTCACCTTTTATGTTCATGCTCTTTCTCAGGCCTGAAACTCAACATCGAGGCCCTACTACTCATTCAGAGAATGATCTTCCTGAACAAGAGGAGGAGATCCTGGGGTCAGATGATGATGAACAGGAGGATCCAAATGATTATTGTAAAGGTGAGAGCTTGCCTCTTTACATTGTGCTAGTATAGTTTGGTGTCCTTTTCTCCCCCTTCTTCACGCTGTGGGCATTAAGACTGTAGTGTCTAATCTGGTCAGCTCTACAACTATAGACCTGTGTTGGTATAACTGTGACTCCAGGGTGTTAAAATCCACATCCAGTCAGTGACATAGTTGCAGCAGACTAATTCCCAGGTGTAGACAGTACTATGTTGGTGAGAGAGCTGCTACCATCAACATAGCTACCCTAGAGGTGGATTAAACACGTGTATGGGAAAAGCTCTCTTCCAGTTGGCATAGACACATCTTCACTTAAGAACAAGTACAGCCAATGCAGTGTTTTAAGTGTCAACATGTCCAATATCTCCCAAGAAGTATGCAGAGTAGGAAATAGTCTGTTTCCTTGGTGTGAAAAGAGAATGTTAGAATGGAAGCAACTTGTGACTGTTGTAATGTGGATGTGTGATGTGACTGTGTGGTTTGAAGGGTTATTAAGACTCTTGTTAGTAAGGTCTCCTATCAGTCAGAAAGAGGTTCCCTTTGACAACCAGGCCAGGATCAGCTTGAAATTTCCCCTTGTCATGTGGGGATAAGCATGTTCCTCTGTGTTCTGTCTCAGAGTTAACTTGCATACGTTGCAATTTGATCACTGGGACACTTGACAAACCATCCATCTGCCTCAAGGAGGAAAGACGTAACAGGCATCTTCCAGGGGAAAATTCATTTTCATCTGTGGAAGGGAGAAGTGTCAAGATTCTGAGACGTTAATGTCTGCTTATGGCAGCATTTTTTGGAGTTATGTCAGCTGCAACTACCTCTTCTGTTGTCCTTTTTTTAAAAAAAAAAAAAAAAAAAAGTCACCTGAAAGGCTGCTGGGGAGTCCG